GAGTATTATCACATTCTCAGCTGTATCAAGACTCTGCTATAGTTTCACACAGCTTATTACTTCATACAGATGATTTCATTCATTCTGCAGACTGTTTGAACCAGTTTTCAATCACTCTATGATATTATTTAAATATATCATAGAAAGATCTGATTAATGAATATAAGAACTCTGCTTCTATACAAGATTAGCAGATTACTCTTTCTTGATAGTAAGACACTGCTGAGATATCACTTCAGCTATTCTTACTTATGAAATGAGAGAAGAGTATTCACTCATTATCTATATAGAATAGCTAGATACTGGCTTCTCATTAAAGAAGTCAGTGATTCATTTTTCTTCTACTGAAATATATACAAGAGTTACTGCATGTCTTATATAATCTTCTTAGTATACTAAGTATTATATCTGTGATATTCTTGCAATAACTCTGTAGTCTACAAGCTCACTATTTAAGCAAGATAGTCAAGCTCACTTATACAGCTTCTTAAACAACTATCTCTACATGACACCGCTGACTAGCCACCACTTCAGTTCCGTCACGTTACAACAGTATACACAGTTAAGAAAAGCAAGGAAGTTAAAAAACTAGCAGAATTAGTGAGCTTGAAGACACTCACTAATATTCTATAAAAAGTCTTTAAAGTGAAAGAGATTTCTGTATTAGATGACTCTCTGAATTCTGTGAATATCAAGAGAAAGCAGGCTTCTGAATAAGATGCAGATAAGAATGAAGAAGCAGATACTTATCTCAATATCTTAAGATCTGAAATGTTAATATATAGAGAGCACTTAAGTAAGAATTAAGAAATAGCTGTAAAAGTATTAGCAGATACAGAAGCTTCTATATAATATATTAATAATTATATAATCTGAAGACTAAAAGAGATCTGCTGAGTGAAGAATCTCTGATATATAAAATTATCTAATAATTAATATTTAGTATCACCTGCAAGAGTAAGAGTTCTCTTGTACTTTGAAGAATGATCTTGCTATATTTAGGCATGAGAGCTGTAGAATATGAAATACAATCTTATTCTTAAACTTAATTGATTTTAAAGATTCAATCTGCAGATTCAATGATGTACATATTATATACAGTTAACTGATAGAAAGAAAACAGTTCATATAATTCTATTAACTGATATGAGAAGAACATTTCACATCTCTGATATAAAAGAATTAAATCTGCTTACATATTAATAAGTAAAGAGAATAATTTATAAGATCTTATCTGAAAGCATTCTGTATATTATATAAGATCTGAAAGTGAAGAAAATCAAGATAAAGAATATGTAGAAGAATAAGTATATAAAGAAACTTCTGAAGAAGTATGAAAAGATCTTCTGAACAGGTCTTTTATCAGAATTGTCATCAGAACAAGAATTTGTACATGAGATCAACATGAGAAATATAAAACCAGTCAATTAAAATTCATATTCTCTGTCACAAACACATCTCAAAGAACAGAAGTATCAGATCACAGACCTTCTAGAACATGATCTTATACAACTCTTATTAAGCATGTAAGACTTCTCAGTTCTATTCATAAAAAAGACAGATAAGAAGTGACAGATGTGTATTAATTATCAAGTACTTAACATGCTTATAATCAAGAACAGATACTTATTATTACAGATTCAATAACAGTTGAATACAGTCAGAAACATCTGATATCTATTAAAGATTAATCTTCTCTCAGAATATTAACAGATCTATGTAAATAAACTATCAGTATCACAAACTGTATTTAATATATAATGAGAGAAGTTTAAATTTCTGACAATGTTATTCAGTCTGATAAATACATCTATCATCTTTCAAATGATGATGAATATAATTCTTTATAAACAGAATAAAACCTTATATCTTATATGTCTGAATAACATTCTATTCTTCTCAAACTTATACAATGAATATCTGAAGCATTTTAATGAAGTGCTTATAACTCTGACAGAGTATAAGCTTTACACTAAATTAATAAAGTGTGTGTTTGAAACAGAAGAGTTGAAGTTTATAGAATATATAGTAAGTGATAACTGTATATATCTCATCTCAGAGAAATTGAATGTTATAGTGAATTAACTGTGACTGAGAGATATACATTATAGACAACAGTTTCTTAAGTTAATCTTATATTATCACAGATTTATCAAGAATTTCATATGAATAGCTGTATCACTCTTAAATCTCTTAAGAGAAACAGATGCTAATCTGCAGAAGAAGAAGTTTCAGTTAATTATCTGAAATATTATATATGAAGAGGCTTTTCTCACACTGAGAGAATATATAATAATATTCTCAGTACTTATTTAATCAGATTGTGATAAATCTTTCTACATCAAGACAGATATATTTAAATAAGCTATCAGAGATACTCTTCTACAGATGAGTAAGAATAGCAAGCTGTATCTGATGATATATAATGATAGAAAACTATCAGGCGCTGAGCTCAATTACTCAGTATATAAAAAGAAATTACTAGTAATCAAGTACACACTGATGTTATAAGATAGATATATTGATAACAGACATATAACAACAGTAATCACAGATTACAAAAGTCTTGTCTATCTACAATTAATAATAAAATCTTTTAAAAACTTAGTACATTGAATCTCAGAGTTTCAAGTGTATAATCTTCATATCAAATACTGAAAGAAATCAGACACTGTGATACCTGATACAATCAGTCACAGACTTAATTTCATGAATAAGAGTTCTGTAAATCAGATATAAGAGAAGTTCATATTAAACACACTGAGAGAATGTAAGAAATCAGAATAAGTGAATACAATGATGTAATATAGCGGAACTGAAGTAGTGACTAGTCAGTAGTGTTACATAGAGGTAGTTGTTTAAGAAGCTGTACAGATGAGCTTGACTATCTTACTTGAATAGTGAGCTCATAAGCTACAGAGTTATTGCAAGAATATCACAGATACAGTACTTAGTATACTGAGAAGATTATATAAGAAATACAATAACTCTTGTATATCTTTCAGTAGAAGAAAAACAAATCACTGACTTCTTTAATGAGAAGTCAGTATCTAATTATTGTATATAAATAATAAGTGAATACTCTTCTCTCATTTCATGAGTAAGAATAGCTGAAGTGATACCTCAGTGATGCCTTACTATTATGAAAGAGTAATCTGCTGATCTTGTATAGAAGTGAGATTCTCATATTCATCAATCAGATCTTTCTATAATATATCTGAATAATGTCATAGAGTGATTAGAAATCAGTTTAAATAGTCTGCAGAATGAATGAAATTATCTGCATGAAAGTAATGAGCTATACAGAATCACAGTGAGGTCTTGATATAATCAGAAGTATGATAATATTCTTCTCTTTAAAAGCATAGTTCTGATGCTCTCAAGATTATCAGATTAGAAATTATCTTTATTATATAGTAACAGTTATTAATCAATTTAACAGTATATATACTATACATAATACAAAGAAATAGATGAGTTTTTCTACTGACTGTGTAGATCTTTCTTTCTTATCTCTGTTCAAATTAAATATATAATAAGTGAGTTTCTTATATATTGATTTGAAATATGAAAAATATAGTTAATAAGTGACTTATAGATCTCTTATCATATTTCATTCTACATATAAAATTCTTTATAAAAGTGATGTATTTTAGAGACAAAGTTAATAGTAGTAACAGGATTTTGTGAAAAGATCTCTCTCTTCTATGAAACATTTTTCTTTCCTCTCTCTCATCTGTAATAGTGAGTACATGAGAGCATTATTCTTGAAAGATAATAAGAAACTTATTCTGACATTTTCTAGTGAGTAATAAACATCTTTGTAATGCAGCTGCAGTCTTCATAGCTGTTAAGAAAGCCAGGTTGAAGGCAGAGATAGCAGTGTCAATGAGCTGTGAGAGTACTGCTCTGATTATTACATCTTCTTCTTCTTCTGCATCTCTTACAGCTGCAGTGATAGTAGCTGTGTCTTGCAGTGAGATATTATCTCTTCTATCAGTCAGTTCATCTGTGTTCAGTCTATTCTCTGCTTCTCTCACTGCTGTTGCAACACTGCTCTCTCTCTCAATCAATACAGTGATGTATAACTCTATATAATTATTCAGAGAGAATCTCAGAGAGAGCTTGATTCTGAGAACAGCAGCTTCAAGAAGTTTAATCTGTAGTTTCTCTCTCATAATATGTCTGAGCTCTGCTCAGAATACTGCTGAGTTGAGTCTGCAGAGTTCTGTAGTTTCTTTGTCTTCTCTCTGTGAGAAGACTCTGATACAGTCTCTGATCAGTATTATCACTTATCTGTACTATGTTAAGCAGCTGAAGAAAGAGATGATTTTGTATATTTATCTCTTCTCTTATTTTTATTGTTTCTGTTATATCTGTAATAATAACTTCTATATCTCTATAAGTATTATCTACTCTACAAGAAGATGTTGTATCAGTTCTGATAAGAAGCTCAGATACTTAAGCAGTACAGAGTAAGAGTCTCAGAGCTTTAAGTATTAATGAATTCTGTCAAGACTGAGAAGATCTCTCTTGCTTATCTGTA